TGTTAGCTGACAGGAGTGGCACCTGGTGTGGTCTTCTGCTGCTGTAGCCCATCTGCTTCAAGGTTGGACAAGGTGTTGTTGCTTCAGAGATGCTCTTCTGCACACCTTGGTTGGAACCAGTGCTTATTTGACTTCCTGTTGCCTTTCTATCATCTTGAACCAGTCTGGCCATTCTCCTCTGACCTCTGGCATCAACAAGGCATTTTGGCTCACTGGATATTTTCTCTTTTTGGGACCATCCTCTGTAAACCCTAGAGATGGTTGTGCTGAAAATCCCAGTTTGTGGCACCAACAACCATGCCACGTTCAAAGTCACTTCAATCACCTTTCTTCATCATTCCGATGCTCAGTTTGAACTTCAGCAACTCATCTTCACCGTGTCTACATGACTAAATGCACAATGAGCTGCTGCCATGTGATTGGCTGATTAGCTATTTGTGTTAACAAGCAGTTGACCAGGTGTACCTAATAAAGTGGCTGGTGAGGGTATGTTGGCTCTATACACGCTAAAATTACTGTTCATTTAAAAACAAACTGACAGTGCAAACAGGCCCTGGCTGCTGCCAGCTGCTCGAGTCTCAATAAAAGCAACTATTTCAAAATCTGTTGCTCCCATTTGTCACTATGACACAAAAATATGGGAAATCTGGGGTCCAGGTTTAAAAATACCAACGTTACCCTTTAATATGACCTCAGGCAGGGTTGATAAAGGGAGGCAGGTCAGTGTCGTGGCACACGGCTCTTAATGGAGCCACCAGTTGCTGCAGGAATTAAATAACAGACTGACTACCTGTTCCTCTTTGGTGTAGAGATGGAAGCACTCATCCAGGGTGCAGCTGTACTGTTGGACGTGCTGCTGCTGCTGATTCCTCACACTGTCTGCGTCCTTCACCACCTCCTCCTGAATGTTACCAAACAGGCTGCAGCCCACGACACAAAGAGGTGGTCACGTTAAACAAGCAGACGGTAGCTAGAGAGAAAAGCCAGAGTGAATAGCTGGTGGTCTGTGATATAAAACATACTGACCAGTCTTTGATTCTGTGCTCCCACTCGATGATGAGCTTCACGTGTGGTGGTCCTCCTGAGCTGCAGAGCTTCAGGGCTCTAAAAGACAGTAAGGTTAAAGGTCATCCAGTGCAGAAGAAGCAGCAGTTCCATTAACTGCTGTAACTTCGAGACATTTACAGGAAATTCACAGCACCAGTAACCTCAGCAGAATAATTTGAGTGCACCTGTACTGAGGCTTTTCAACCACTAGGTGTCAGCATTGCTTCAGTACCTAATGAAGCAGGAGCGACTGAATGAATGACTGCTGTGTGAGAGACAGTGACTGAGAGATTGTATTGGGGAATTCACTGTAGATGTTTTAGGTAAACAACGTATTAGAAGCTACAGTGTAATATAAAGGTAAACTACAGACTTGTTTTAGTCATATGACTCATATCAAAAGAGTCCCCACAGTTCACAGCTGACAACACATTAAAATAAGACAACAAAATCAGGCTAACTCAAATAACTTACGACCTCTTTCCAGGATTCTCAGTCACATCTCACGTCTTTATCAGAATTCACTGTGAGCAATGGCTGAAAGCTCAGGAAAAAAAGCTACTGAGTTGATCTAGACATAAGATTATTTTGTCAAACTACTGTTTCAAAGGTCAAGACACAACGTTCATGCATATCAACAGTAAACACTGTGGTTTTTGGGTGCTATTGGGCGTTGCAACAAAATGAGGGAATACACTTAAAGCAAAGCTCAACGTCACCTACAAAATTATCACCTGTCGTCTTTGTTTCTCTATTAGCCACTACTTTTGCTTTTGCTCCTTGAAAACACTTCTTATCTAGTATACTTGTATATTTTGCCAGATATGTAATAATCTATTGTTTCTAAAACTGGGCCCAGTGAATGAATTTCCTTCGAGATAAATAAAGTTATGTTGAACTGAATTGAATTGAATAGAATAGAATGGAATTTGTATGATGTTTTTTGGTGGGCGGGGCTTAGTAGGAGGCAAAACACGCTAGGTAGCACGTTCTGTTGGCTTGTTTTCAACAGTGGGGAAAGAACATAAAGGTTGTGGATTCAGAAATATCAATTCAGAGTGCCGGAGCGCACTCTGGCACAAACTGGAGCGTTCGTAACTTCAGAACGCTGTCTGAATGTAGCGTTGGGTTATCCAGAGCAGCGCACTCTCAGAGTGGCAGAGCGCACTCTGGACACTCTGTCTGTGGAGACGGAGCAGCAGAGCGCCGAGCGGAGTGAATGTGTGATTAACTTAACCGTTGGTTCATTCATGTAGAAATATAACGCTGCGTTTCTTCCACTAACAGGGCTCTCATTTTAGTGTAGAGCGTCAGACTGAATTTACCAACGCACCATGTCAGGTCACTCACTCTCCGGGACCGCCAGTGTTACTTGAATAAGTAAACACTGACCAACGGGACCATACTGGCCGACCCGTATGCTCTCACTCAGTGGATGGATGATGTCACAGGAAGCCAATCTTACAAAGGAGGACCACACTTGTTTGTTTTGCTATGGAAGCTAACGTTAGCTAATGTGCTAAAAAGTTAGCGTTCCAGAGAAATCCAATCTTCCTCTTAATCCCTCCCCAGTTTCTGATGAGGTGGACATGATAACCCTTAATACACATAACCTTATTCATCCCTACAACAGGAAATACTTTTTCCCTAACCTGATATGAAGTGTGCGCTGCACGTTTACAAGTAGCATTTTAGCAAAAATGCATGTGTTGTGTGTGAGTTTGTGAACAGATGTTTTGATATAGTTTTGCTTTTGCTAGTCACGGCCCCCGTTTACTTCGATTTTATGAAGACAGTTCGCCTTCTTTTTGGTTTCTCTGTTCACCGTGGAGGCATGCCAGAAAAACAATGACTTCTCCACAGATTCAAGGCAACACGTGGCGAGCAATTGATGTACAAATGGTCACTCAACAAGCTACTAATAACTCACTTTAAGTGGTCATTGTTTGCTTTAAGTCAAGTGAAAAAAAAAACAAAACATTATCTCTCTGCAAGAATACAAAATGCTGGGTCTTCATGGGACTATGATGCATCATGAAAGGATTATAATGTATAAAAACTATGAGAATTACAATACACTATGATCCTTGCAAGAAACAATGTCAGTGAGTGTCCAGCACTTATAAGGTATCATGATACTTGTATAAGTATTAATGTGTTATGCTTATAATCATGAATATGTTTATAATGCGTCACAGACGTGGGCGTCATAGAAAGTGTTACCAAACACTTGGACCAGTGCGTTCTTGTACTGTTTGATGTGGGCCGACTTGAGGACAGAGCAGATTTGTGAATCATTAGAGCTCCAACACGATCGTTACCTGTACCAAGGAGGTTATGTTTTCACTTCTGTTTGTTTGTTTGTTGGCAGAATTACAGGAAGACTACTGGCCTGATTTTCATGAGACTTGGTGAAAGGGTGTAACACGGGTCAATGACAAAGACGGTATGAATCATGGTGCGGATAAGCAAATAACTTTTTACTTTCATTATTACTGCAAGATAGGTATTTTACCCTGGCGATGTCTGCGCTCTCCGAGTGCCCTTTGGTTACTTTGGTTTCCAGGATACAGCGAGCTGCACATTTGCCTTACAAAAGATTTTGAAAGCATTTGCCCCCATCAGCACCATTCAACCAGTGAATGAACTGTTCTTAGCAACGACACAAATGGAAGTCCTTTCAAGACGTTGCCAAAATGTCCCTTTGACACAGCAGTTCACTTCTGCAAGTGAGAGCCATCGGACGTGCGTTTGTGACAAGGGACAAAATGTCTGCAGACTTCTGTCAGTGATGTAAAATCAGGTCTAATGATGTTCATAAAAAGAAGAACATCAGCTTCAGAGCCAACGCCAATCATCCCAACACGCCAGACATAAACTCTAACAGTCATATTAGTGTGTAACATGTGTTTTCATGTCAGAGTGTGTTCAGTAACTGGCTGCCTGCCTCAAGAAACGCTTTATTAGATTAGAGCAGATTTAAATTACATTAAAACTGATTACATTAGATCAAATTTGAATGAGCCTGTGGGAACACTGGGTCGTTTCAGTGTTCAACATTTGGACCACAAAACAGTAATTCTACAACAAAAGAACACATGTAGAAAAATTTAATAATCTCCAGTCTAATAATAGAAGAATGAGGTGTCCTGACAGCTGGTCAGCTCCAACCACAATAGTTCCTCTGGACGCCGTGCTCATAGTGTTTGAACCAGGTAAAACATGGAGGCTATACATTCATGAAAATCTAGACATATGTCCAATAATATTCCTGTCAGACTACCTGTAGAGTGTTTAAAATAATGGGCTTAGCCATCGTGATGTCACCCATCGGTTTGTGGACTCCTATTCGGAATCCTCAAGTTTGACATTTTGGCCGGCGCCATCTTGGTGTTTTGGAGCCACAAGTGACCGAATTTGTACGAGATAGTGGAGCTAACCCTAACGCCAGCTGCTAGCTTGGTCAGCATATTGCATCTAGCAGCTATGGTTAAAGCTATAGTGCGTAACTTCTACAGGTCCGTAAATGTCCGTTTCACCCAAGCCACTACTAGAGGAGATGACACAATGCTGATTAAGCCGATCGGCTCCTCTAACATCTCGCTGTATTTTTCAATATATATCATTTTGTTTGTGTGTCGACCGGTGACATTCCTGCGCTGGCGCACAGGAAATGCTTCCTCACAACAAGAAGGGAGGGGGGGAGGAAGAGCGGAGTGTGTCACAGCAAGAGGTAGAGCGCAGGTAGAAAGAGAAAGCAACATGGCGGAGAAGCGGCCGAGACACGGTTCAGAAGTGGATCCTACCACAAAGAAAAAGCCTGGACATTCAGCTGAAGGTCTATTAGCAAAGAAGGAAAGTGACCGACGGAGAAGGCAAACAAGGATTTGAATTGGCGTCGCTTTTCCTCAGTGGAGAGCCCTGAAGGAAGAAATTGGGCTGAGGGCAGACACGGATGTTGCCTTGCTGCTGTTGGATAAGTAAGTGACTTGGTTTATAATTATATTATGAGTAGTATGTGTTGCTGTTACATGTACTGGACCTAGTACTTTATTATTTTCTTGGAAATGGTGCTATAAACGTAATGTAATGTTAGCAGCCAGGTGTTCGCCACGTTGTGTAGCGTTGGGTAAACAGTGTGAAGCGAGTGTTATTCTGTGTACACGGTGTGTGGCGACTGGCCAGTGTTACTCTGTGTACATGGAAGTGCCTCCGGCTTATTAGTTGTAATAACGCATTATCCGCTGGGAGGCGACAGAAGTTCCGCACTATAGCTTTAACTGTGATAATGCTAATGCTAATTTTTGCCAGTGAAAAAACTGGAGTATATGTTAGTGCAACCAAATGCTGACTTTTTTAGATAACCAAAACATTTCAATTATCCCTCATGAACTGAAAACACACTGAAATAGCAACCTTTAAAGCGAGATTTATACTTGTGCATCAGCTCTATGCAGACCCTACACATGTGGCCTATGCTGTTGTGAGCATTTATACTTGTGCGGTGGTGCGTCTGTGTCACTCTGCAGTTACACCTCCAAAACACTAGTAGGTGGTGGAGGTTTCTGTGAAGTGTTGTGAAGTTTAGTAGATTCAAAACACACATTAAACACACATTAAACATGTCTTAATAGAGACAGTTTCAAACACAAGTACACAAATCAGCTTCACTATAACTCGCAGCATTCACAGACAAACACTTGTCTTTATCTGGACACATTTTCCCCACAAATACAACATGCTAACATTATTAGCACAAGCCTATGGTATTTTACATTGTATAAATTAGCCTAGCAGCTAGCAAACTTTTCCTCTACTCATATTAAGCCAGGGACAACATCAACATTTAACAAAGGTAACGTTACAAAATTCAGCTCCATTACAACTCACAAGGTTCACTGACAAAACAACTGTCTTATACTAAACACGATTTCCAAACAAATACAACATGCTAAAATTATTAGCACAAGCCTATGGCATTTTACATTGTATAAATTAGCCTAGCTTCTAGCAGAGATTTCCTCTGCTCATATGAAGCCAGGATAAATCACACACAAGACTTAACATGCTATTTTAGTGGAGGCTTTATTGTCTTCACAATTTATTGTTTCTTATCTCTGAAATTAAAGTAAATAAAAGTTTTGTTTCCACTGAGGGAAATAGTTTCAGCTTACAGAAATAAACAGGAGGTCTGCAGCGCCGCAACGTGTAGTTACATTTCTGGGGAGGTGCACATCAGGCTACAGGTCAATTCGATGCAGAAGTATAAATCCAACTTAAGGCTTCACCTGTACTCCGTGAATCTGGGGTTACTCCATAGTGATGTTACCTAGCTAACGTTGTCACTGTGGTAGCAACTTGTCAACAGATGGCACTAAAATCATCAACGGCCTTATTCATGCATAACTTTAAACCTAACAGTTAAACAGGTGAGCTTTGTAAGAATTCACCCCTGTACAGGTGCCATGAATAGGTAAACTAGCTACAGACATAAAACGTTTTTTTGTACCAGGCTGTAAACATGTTTATTTTCTGCTGTTAAGTTAAACATTTTATCATGGCGTTCTGTGGGGACTGACTCGCTTTTGAAGCCAGCCTCAAGTGGCCATTAAAGGAACTGCAGTTTTTAGCACTTCTGTGTGACTTTATTTGTCAGCCCTGGGGGTTGATGCTTGGTGCTGCCCAAAGCTGCAGACGGGCATTCAGCTGAGAGAGCAATTAACACCTCAAAAACTGTGATGTTCAAACACAAATAGAAGATAAGAAATGGCTGTTATATATACAGTGAGCTCAAGTGAAAATCAATTAACACGTTCAGAACAGCAGGACGAATGTGTTTGAGAGAACACATCTGCTCAGTGCTGGTCAGCTGAGTGTGTGTGTGTGTGTGTGTGTGTGTGTGTGTGAGACATGAATCCTCCACCAGAATGTACTCAATGTTTCGTGTATTTTTGACCTCCTCACCTGTCGACAGCAGGGTGGTAGAGTGGCCGCCCGTCCTGCGGAGACAGGTAGCTGTAAAATGCTGATCCTCCCACCACACGGATGTTAAACAGCACTCTGGTGTTCTGAAAGAAGGGCACAACAAAACACTTTTAAGCCACCAGTGTGTATTTATCCTTTACATAACAAGGCTATAAACAACAACACTATAAACTTTCAGTACTTTATGTCTCCCACATATCCTCTCCTCAAATACTATATGTTTTTATTACTGTGGATCCTCTGAGCCTGACTTTGGTTGTACTAACTAACTACACGCCACTGGTCTGGCATGTCTCTCAGGAGGAGCTGTGATAAATCTGACCCCATGACTTTTCCTACGGTGCCATCGTCAGGTCAAAGTTTTGATCTGTCCAATACTTTGAGTTATGATCACATATCCTGCCAAACTAACGACATACCCATCAGCCTTAGCTGCAGATTAAATTAACAAGATCAGGTTCACAGTTCACAGTTTGAAGTCTCAAAAAATGAACTAGTTTAATGTCTTTTTGTGTTGTTTTTCACAAAAGAAAATCTTGTAATCATCATTTACTCGCAGATATTTTCTAGGACTGGTCGGAGGCTTCAGTTGGATGTGTGGTAGCAAATTTGTTGCCGACATTCAAACTCGTTTTTTCAGACCTGGTGGGGACAATCTGCATCTAAATATGAGATTTTTTTAAAGTGGAATCTGTACTTATGTGTTCATAAAAGTCCCTTAAATATCTGTATGAACTGGCCTCAGCAGTACTGGTAGTTACGTTGTCTGTTGCAAGAAGCCCTCAGGGTTTTCTGCCAGAAAGCCTTTTCTTGGTTAGGTGTAGGAGAAAGATCCTTCCTGAGGTTAAAATAAATAGATTTCAGTTTGGCGTCTCGACTCCAGCCTCATCATTCCCCGCAGATATGTTTAATGAGATACTGGTGAGTGATGATTAGATATCCTGGCCTCAGCCACCATGATGTCACCAACTGATATGTGGAGTACCATTTTGAAGCATCAAGTTTGGCATTTTTGTGTCGCTGTCTTGTTTTTTTAGAGCCAGAAGCGACAATTTTTAGACGAGAGGGTGAAGCTGTGGATGTGACTTAGAACTCAAGGACACTGCTGTGGTAGCGACTTGTCAATCACAAGGTAGCCACGCCCTAAAGCATCCCCTGCTTTATCGTCTGTGTTACTCTAAATGGGACTGTGATTTGAGAGCGCAGCACCTCCAAATCTGAGGGCATGGTTCTCTGCTGGAAACTGGTGGATTGCCCTCTCCGGGTTGGGAGAGTTACTGCCTCAAGTGAGGGAGTTGAAGTATCTCGGGGTCTTGTTCACGAGTGAGAATGAAGCGTGAGATGGATCGGCGGTTTGGTGCGGCTTCTGTAGTGATGTAGGCGCTGCGCTGGAACGTTGCTGTGAAGAGGGAGCTGAGCCAGAAAGCGAAGCTTTCCATTTCCTGGTCTATCTATGTCCCAACCCTCACCTATGGTCATGAGCTCTGGGTAGTGACCGAAAGACTGAGGTCGTGGATACAATAGGCCAAAATAAGTTTCCTCCCTTGGGTGTCTGGGCTCAGCCTTAGAGATAGGGGGAGGAGCTCGGAGTAGAGCCGCTGCTCGTTTGCGTCAAAAAGGGTCAGTTGAAGTGGTTCCTGCATCTGATCAGGATCCTCCTGGGCGCTTCCTGTTAGAGGTGTTCTGAGCACGTCCCACTGGTAGGAGGCCCCGGGGCAGACCCAGAACACACTGGAGGAATTATATATCTCATCTGGCCTGGAAACACCTTGAGGTCCCCCAGGAGGAGCTGGAAAGTGTTGCTGGGGAGAGGGACGTCTGCGGTCCTTTGCTTGGCCTGCCGCCCCTGCAACCAGGCCCTGGATAAGTCGATGAAAATGGATGGGACCATAGTACTAAATCAACATCATGCTGTAATGGTGAAGACTTGAAACCAGTGACTGAGTCCATAAACTCATTACCAAAATGTTGACTGTGGTAATAAATTCAATGAGAAGATGGGTCATTTTCTCGTAGACTTCTATACAATCAGACTTATTTTTGCATCCAGTGAAGTCGCCCCCTGCTGGCCATAGAAAAGAATGCAAGTTTAAGCCAGGTCTGTACTGACCCGAAGGTAACCCCCCCCCTTTGGTACAACCTCACAAAGCGTCGAGCATTGCTGCAGATTCTTCCAGTAAATCTTGTTGAGGTCTTTAATAAGCACTGCCATCGCAAACAGATTCACCACAAGTGAAGAGTGTCGTCACTCATCCGTCATGGTTTTGTATGTAACACAACAATGATGTGATGCTTTCATGATGGTAAAATGAGAACACAAAGCTCAGTGTTTTGGAAAAAGCAGCAGCAACATTTCTGAAGACTTAACTGCGATCAGTCGCGATCACTGCTCAGCTTGGAGACTTCAGACCATAAAATGTGGGCTGAAATGGTTTTAAGAATCCAATATGAGTCTGTGCAGAAGAAGAATGACTAATTCTCATATGGTTTGTGTAAATATTGACCTGTCCCTTTTGATCAAAACGGAGAATGTGCAGTTTTCTAGACAGCAAGTCATGTCGTTAAAGCATCAGCACAAGCATTTTCCAGGCTGTAGGTTCAGCAATTAATTCACTACCATTCTTTTTGGAGGTGCAACAACTTCTGTCGTCTCATTACTCTTTCCTGCAGTGGTAAGTCACTAATCCCTTTTACACTGCCAGATTTTCGGCGAATGTTGGGCCGTTTTGCCGGCCAGCTGCGAGCATTTAGACACACAGAGCCGGATTGGCGAGTTGATCCGAGGTGCCCAATTTTCGGCCTCGTAGGGTAGACATATTGGTTGAACCTTTTTTGTTTAAAAAGAACGAGGCGGCCTTCCACCACGGGAGGGGCTGTTGATGACTTGTGGGAGGAGCTGTTGATGACGCCGCATGCGTGAGCCACTGGCGGTGGATAAACAGGAAACAGCTGATAGCAGGAATTAGCGAGCAGCTAGTAGCAAGAGGGAAACACAAACCTGACAGACACTGTAAAGATGAGCAACTGGGGAGACAAGGAATTGCGCGCCCTCCTTGTCCTCGCAAACGAAGAGGCCATTAACCGTCAGATGACGGGGACGGTGAAGGACGGGCTGACTTATGAGAGAATCGCCGAAGGACTGACCAGCTGCGGCTTCCCTCCCACGTCACTGTTTACGTCACACGCTGAGCTACACGTTTTGTTACTTGCTCACGCCCCCCATTGCCCTGAAAAAGGCACATTCTGTATAAACAAAAGTAGGTAGGCGGCATTTTGCTGCACTCCCTGATTTTGTTTTTATACTGTCAATGCTGAAAAAAGACTGATTGGGCTTTCCTGCAAATTTGCACAAGGGCTACAGTTTGATGGCAGCAAAGGTTTTCAATTTTCTAAATTGCCTCCAAGAACACTGAGATCATCTGCTGCCCGCCTCAGACTTTCAAACCAGGAACCCTCTTGCTGTGAGGCGACAATGCTAACCACTGCACCACCATACTGCCAAAAGGTTTATCATCACCAGTATGACCTCTGGTACTGCCCTTGATTCATCTTTAGCACTTTAGGCCTCATCTTATTATCAAAAGACCAAACAGGTTTAGTGATTGGCTTTAAATATTTCACAACTAGCATCACACGATCTGTGGAAGGTCTTCCTCACATCTATCGTCCCCGTTTTCTGAGACACACATGACAGCTGGAACACTGAGGATCTCTTGAAGGCTCGGGCCTTGGAACATGAGCTGTCATCAACACATATTGATACAAATCAGCGTTTACAGCCGACACTTGACTAAAACTTCCTGTGTTGACATTTTTAGTGACAGTTATTTGTTGCTGGGTCATGCTGATTTTAAATAATATTTAAAAAATGCTGAACTGGAAGTGAGTCTGTATAAACACTGGCATATTTTTACTCTCTCTGGGTTATATTTAACAAGTTTGCTGTGAACAGGACTAAAGCAACACGGAGGCAGAGGAGAACAAAGTGGGCCAACATGAAATTTAGGCCAAGACCTGCACCTGACATTTTGAGCTCACAGCAGTTCAACCTGAATCAACACGTGGCGCCTCAACATGGAGCTCAGTGTTGAAGTTTTGTTTGCATTCAAAGTATTATTTTACAGGGAAAAAGCAGTAATAAAACCATAGATTACCCGACTGCTGTCTTATATCACTCTGAACTGGGCTGGAAAGTCAAGTTGGTTTCAATAAGAAAGACGAAAGAACAAATATGAGCCCTAATATCTTTTTGTCCTCCTTTGAAGCCGCTTATATTACTCTGAGATCTGCTTAGATTGGAGGTGCTGTAGGAGTGAAGGAGCGCTTTGCAAAATTGATTTTCTCTTGTTCCAGTGAAATCTAGTGTGTAGCTGCTGGCGGAGCTCAAACACAAACACCCACTTTGAGTCCTGCGAGGAAAGCTCCATCCAGCAGGATCTTTCTGATGACAAGGAGCACACTGACGAACAGAGCTCATTCCTGGAAAATATTGACATGCTGAACACATGAACCCACTGGAATGCATCGCCCTCAGGGGAAGTTATACAATACTTATGAATTACTGCCTCATGTATGCAATAGACAGAACTATTTAAAGCATAACAAGTGCCAGTGAGCGGCTGAAATACTGCAGCAGTTAGAGCTACTCGATGTAGTAATAAATAACATTTTGCTCTCAGTCTGAGTACACACAGCGAGCCGTGTAACTAACACTACATTATCCTCTCCTCAGTGTTTCAGCATCATGTGTTTATGGACTCCGCAGGCATCCACCTTCCCCGCGGTGCTTACTGTAGATGCCGTGTGGTGCTTTTCCAGAGAATTCATCAACTTTTGCTCAAGTGTTCATTTTCAATCTGCTGTAAGGGGAAAAAAACTGGCACGACAGATGACAAGTGTAAACCCCAAATAAGTTTTCTTTTCATTACAGACTTGCTCAGGCTTAGTGTGAGTTCCAGTGACAGGCCTGTGTGGACACGTGAAGACCACCCAACGAGTCCTACCAACTTCTCAGGAACTGTTTTTTTCTCCACTAAACATTGTTTTTAAAAACCAGGGGAAAATTCCTGGTCTTGTATTTACA